CTTCCTTCCTTCCGGCAGGCCAGGAACAGGTGTCCACAAATTCCTTAAGGAGTGGGGGAAGCTGTAGGGTGTCATGAACAATCAGGTTCCCTAAATCCCTATCATTGATAATTCATGCAGAGTTCTAGATAAATATGTTATCTCTTTTGGGAGAAAGTAGACAATTAAAACAAGTATGTGGAAAACAGGACACCAGAAGCTTGCTTTTTGTATTGGTTTGTAAGCATGTTAATGAACTTTTTCTCTAGAAATTACTGTTAAAGTTCCTCACCATTCTACATCACCCATATTCCAACTCCCACTGGGTGCAGATCACTAATAGAAAATGTGTGAAAAGGCTATTATTGTGGTTAAAAGCACAGAGCTGGGTTTTATTCCAGGCCTGCAGTATGTGACCTAGAGCAAGTTACTTAGCCTCTGGAACTCATTGTTCTTACCTGTAAGAGGGGGATGACAGTCCCTACCTTATAGGGGTTTATGAAGATTAAAAGAATACCTCCCTCTTAAGAGCTTAGCAAGGAACCTGTAGAGGTAGCAGGCCTGCCCCACCCTCACCTCCTACCCCCTCACACCCATCCCCAGCGACCCTCACATCCTTTGCAGATTTTCTGAATTTCACTTTGCTAATAACCTGGCCCTTTGATTTACTGGATTGTTTGAAAAGCTTTTTTAAAATTTTTCTTTCAAACCTTTTATAGAAAATGTCCTTTCCCAGAGTGATGGAGGAGTCTCTGATGTTGAAGACACAAGGCAAAGAGAGGGATTAAAAGTCAAAGGGAAAGAACTCTTTCTTGGAGAACATTCAGGACATCAGTGTGGGGCTGGTCCTCCATCTGGTTTGGAGGGGTGCTTGCTGGGCAGAGCGAATGTGGCCCTCTTGTCTCCTAGTAGCCAGGTCAATAGCCAAAGGAGCCTGGAGAAGGGAAAGGTTTAGGCAAACCGCTCACACAGAGCAAGAGCCCGGAAGCTCAGGCCTCATCCCCGTGTCAGGAGCTATGGTGGTTGAAGAGCTGAGGACCGGACCGGCTCTTGCAGCCAAGTGTGTAGACAGCCAGAGCTCTAGTGACTGGTGAGCACAATGCATCGCTCAGCTGAGCAGTGTAACCACTTTCCCTGAGTTTTCAGTGGTGACTGTAAGTCTTTGAAAGAGTCGTCTGGTCCAGAAGAGTTAATGTTTTGAATATATGTCACCCTCCTGGAAATTACTACTAATATTTCCCACTGTGAAATGATTCAGGATGATGCATCTACTGTCCAGACCATTGGCATGTTGCCTGCACTGTTATCTGAAGCCCATTCCACTGCCCCCCTGCTAAATAAGGGTGGTGACACACCTTCCTTGTTGGCCTTATGTTCTATAGGTGCAGCAGCAAAAAGCATGGAAGCAAGATCTTGGTTTAGGATGTAACTGAAGTGTGTGTGAGCATACACACTCACTTCTCTGATTCTGATGAGTCTTTCAAGGACTGTAGCTTAAGGGAGGCTTAAAGAAATAATACTGTGGAGGGGGAGGAGTTCAAGTTCTAGGCTGATAGCTGAGATGGGTCATCAGGCGGCTGGAGGTGCAGTGAAATCTAGGGCCCCAAAGGAGTGTTGTTCTGGGCTGGAGAGGCACCATGGTCAGTCAGTCAGTCGTCAGGAGTGCACGTTTTGTAGAAGGTGGGGGCCTTGGCTGATGTGTGACATTTGTTTGTGTTTGTGGGACTAGAGGTTAGAGACAAGCTGAGGAGGGTAGGTTGATTTCAAGAATTAAAAAAAGTTCATAGAGATACAAATATAGGGTTGGGGAGAATCGAGATCTTGGATTCTCTGAGACTTTAGGACTTGTTAATTGGTAACATCCCCTAAACAAGGGGTTCAGATGCACTGTAGGGACGGCAGTGCTGTCCATAGTGGTCTGTGCTAGCAGCATGTGGCTGTAGACACCTGGCCTCCCACAAACAAATGGTCACGAGTGCTCATCCTTTCTAGCACCTGTGCTAGGTATTCTCTACCCCTGCATCCTGGGCTCCCCGTCCTTGCTGCTCCCCGTCCAAGGCTACAGCATTCTTACAGCCACCTTCTAGCTCAGGATGGGGTGAGGGTAACTTAGAAGGAGCTTCTTTTTAATGAGAAATGGCACAAGTGTGTTCTCGGGTCTTCCAGCAGCACAGCCCGGTCGCACTCTAAGTGTGCCAGCATGTCTGATGGAAGCTGGGGTGAGGGGACACGCCAGGCTCTGTGGCCACCACATGGCATTCCAGGCCTTCTCACCATGGCCACCTCTCTCGCTCTCTCTCAACAGTGTTGCAGAGGATTGCAGAATCTTTTTGAGTGACTCTGGTGGCTTATGGGACGTTGGCTTCGGACCCTTGTCATACACCTTGCTGCGTGGGATGATGACGACTCAGAGAGGAAGGAGGCCCGAGGTCACACTCGCCTGCCTCCTCCTGGCCACAGCAGGCTGCCTTGCGGACCTGAGTGAGTGCTGTCCCTCCCTTTTCTCAGCCTGCTTCTCGGAAGAACACTTTGCCCCCTCCCGCCATGTCAAATGGAAGCGTTGCCCATCCTCCCATAACCCTTTCCAAAGCCCCTCCTCTTCCAGAATTTCAAAGAACACTGCATTCCCACTAGCCTTCAGGGACACGCTCGATAATACAAGATGAGAAGTGATTTCAGCAGCATCACATGGGTTAGAGTTAGTTGGGTATTTTAATCATTTCTGATACATACCAGAGGAGGAGGAATACCAATAATAACCCCCTTGTACTGAGCACTTATGATTTGAAATTAGGGCAGGCAGTTTACATTGTTATAAGCTTTACAACAGCCCTGTGAGACAAGTATTAGCCCCATTTTACAGATAAGGAACTGAGACCTCAAAAGGCCAAAGTCACGTGGCTCAGAAGCTGTGGGACTGGGATTCAGACTCAGGTCTGTCCAACTCCAGAGCCTAATCGCTCGCCTTTGCACCGCGCTGACACTCCTTTCTGCCTTCCTGGGACCAAGACAGGCTGGGAAATGGACCTACGCACAGTAGAGTCTTCAGAGAAAGATCAGCTCCTCTGGCTTGTTCAGCTCTGAAAGGCTGCCCGGGCTCTGTGCTTCTAAAACGTCATGCTGTTGGATTCTTGAGATTGTCACTTTATACTGCGTCCCTGTTCTTCTTGCAGACGAGGTCCCTCAGGTCACTGTGCAGCCCCCCTCCACTGTCCAGAAGCTTGGGGGCACAGTGATCCTGGGCTGCGTGGTGGAACCCCCGGGGGTGAGCACCACCTGGCGCCTGAACGGGAAGGAGCTGAACGGCTCGGATGATGCCCTGGGCATGCTGATCACCCGCGGGACGCTCGTCATCACCGCCCTCAACAACCGCACGGTGGGACGGTACCAGTGTGTGGCCCGGATGCCTGTGGGGGCCGTGGCCAGCGTGCCAGCCACTGTGACACTAGCCAGTGAGTGCTGTTGCTTTGCCCTGTGCCATGGTGCAGGCTCTTCCTCTTTCCTGTTCTCCCCCCCCTCACCCACCGTTCATATCCCCTGTCATTAATCTTACCATAAAAGGGGTCTTGCTCATTGAAATGTTAAATCTGAGTGTGGTAGCTGCCCAGCAATCCCAGCGGCAGGGGCTGTGTGCTCTGGTGCAGCCACTTTCTGAGTCCAAGACATGGAGTGTCTGGGGTGAGTGTCTAGAAAGAGGGAACTTGACGTGGCTGAGCTGTTCCTGTGGGCCCCGGAACTGGGCCATGCCTTTCTCCTTGGTCACTCTGTGGCTTTAGGTGGTCTTGCCAACTGCTCACTGTCCTCTCTGTCCTCCGTGCTACATCCTCACAGCGGTTGCAGTTGGAGCACTTACAGGGAGGGAGGGCTCTGTGTGGTCTGAACAGAGCCTGACCATCCCACACTTGGCCACCTGCCTCTCAGTGAGGGGCACGCATATTACAAATGCCTGGAATATAAACAGCAGAACACAATGGAAAGGAAACTGTGTGACAAAGGGCTAAAGAGAGGAGAAAAGAGGAGATTAGGTGATAGTTTGGTCTAAGGACGCTGCCAGAGGACTTCGTGCTGCGCTTACTATAATCATCACTTGGGTCAACTATGACCTAGGAACCACACACACATTATCTGGTTTTCTACCCACTGTAAATGTGGCAAATGAGACTTGATTGATTAAATAAACTTCCAAAGGCTGAAGAGCAGCCCCTAACCCCACTCTTACATGCCAGGTCTAGAGCTGGGCAACATTTAGAATTACCTCCCCTTTCCTGGATCCTGGAGTGTAGGGCATAGGAAAACTCGTTGAAACTTTCATGGATTTAAACTGAGATCTTCAGAACTTGTTCCCCTATGACTGGGCAGTGCCCCCCTCTCTCTGACAGCCCTATCTTGGGCTTCCATGTCACCACCATTGCCACCTTGCTGGGTGAGATGGGTCCAGGAGGTTGGTGGTCTTGAGGTTGTGGGGCATGCCTAAGGCAGCAAACTTCTGAAATGCTCCTCCATCACAGTCGGCTGGGGGCCCTAGGCTTTGCGAGGTGGGTCTTGGGAGGAGAGTGAGGCGACATGGGGAGTAGAAGAGTGGGGGAGAAAAGACCCTTCTCTCCCTCTGGTTCCCAGATCCCTGAGGGACTGCACTCCACAGGAACAGTGAAGCAGCCCTTTTCTCAGAAGGGAGGAAGGCAGGGTGGGTTCCCATTTCCCTAGGGGGCCGGGCTCACCAGCCTGGGCTGCATCTTGGAGCCACTCCCCCATCCCGCATGAGAGCCACTTTGTGGTAGGAGCACCCTTTGAATCTGTGTGCCGAGCCTCTGGGGAGCAGGCTGCATGTACTCGGTGAGGGGGGCCGGCCTGGGCTAACAGCTGAGCCCTCCCCTCCAGCTGTGCTTGTGGGGTGATTTGAGGATGCAGGAGACTTGGGTGAGGATAGGGGAGGGTGCAAAGGAGCTATCTCTTCGTAAAAAGAAAGGTTGAGGTCAGAGCTAAGCTTCCATCATATGCTTCTTTTATATTTTTCAACTGTAATTCAAATTACATTATAGAACATTTAGAATGTATAGAAAACAGTGTTTCTCCTCAGCCCACCGTCACTCAACCACTGTTATCCTTTTGGAGTGCACCCTCCCAGTGTTCTTCCAGACCCGTATTTTTACACTGTTGTAATGATGCTGTTGGATATATAGTCTCCACCCTTCTCTTCCCCTCAACATTGGATGATAAGCATTTTTCATTGGCCATATGACCGTTTTTACTTTTCTTTTTTATTGAATATAAAATGCATCCAGTAGAGCACACAAAGTGCACTAATGTTAAGTGAGCAACCTGACGCATTTTTCACGTGTATACACCGCGTAACCATCACTCCAGCAGGTTCCCTCGTGCCCCTTCCTAGGTCATCTGCCCCCACCCCCACCAGAGCAGGATCATCACTCACGGCCCTAGAACATCCTGAGTGTCTACACCGTAAGGCACTGAATCTTTTTTTCTGTCGCCAATCAGGTTGCTCCAGTTGTTCATTATTTCAAATAAGATGTGCTTTTTAGCAACACTTGAGCCTTTGGAGGATAACGCTGCTCATCGCAGAGGGAGAGTTCATCTGCAAATGGTCAGCGCATGTCTGTGAAGGCTCACACTCCATAACCATTCATTTGGCCTAATTAGAAGTCAGGCTGAACCTTTTATTGTTTGGAGGAAGGGAGAGTTGGAGAGTAGAAGATTTATTTTGGAGCCCTCCTTTTACTTCAAGGTGTATCTGTGTGTGGAAAGACAATTTATAGCTTTATTTTTAAAAAATTCCTGGCCACTTCTTTCTCTAATGCTTAAAGGGATCTGCATTTGGCAGTGAGGACAAAGGGAAGGGTTTGGTCGCAGCCCAAAAAGGCACAGTGAGAGAAGAAGGGGCTTGTGCCGAAGCCAACCGAGTCTTGTTTGAAAGCCAAGAACTATTGGCTTGTCATTTAGACATGAATCAGAAGTGAAATGTTTGGGCCTGACTTGGGACGGAGAGGTTCTGGAAATCGGGAGAGGGAGCAGGCGTGGAGGGGGTTGTGTCATGGAGAACAGGGAGTCAGTGGAGTGGGACTGCAGCCTCCCAACCTTGGAGGAGGCAGCAGGAAGGCGGGAGAGGCGGGAAAAGGGGGTGCTGTCTTTGGGTTAATGCCATGGGGCATTTGGCCCAGACTCAGCAGTTAGATTAAGTTTCCGAAAGCACATTCCTGAGCAGAATGGGGGCTGTGTTTTGCTGGTTGGCTGGTGTATGAGGGAGGCTGAGCAGGAGAAGGGATTACCAAAGGCCTAGTCTGCATTTAGAGGCGAGGCGGGGCAGCAGCGTGCCGGTGTGCACGCACGCACGCACACACCCAGCACTGGAGACTTCCTTTCCTCGGGCCTCTTCTGTGTGTGTGCAGATGTTCGTTCTCAGACAGAGCATTTGCTGTGTGGCCTACCTGGCAAGACTCTGCCTCCTGCGTCTCAGTGAGCTTCTAGAGATCACGGGAGCTTTTGATGATGGGGGCTAAGGCCTGGCTTGGGGATTTGGGGTATGGAGGACGCCTCCAGCAGAACCTTCCTGATCCACACCTCTTTTACCCTGATGCTGGGGGATGGGGGTTGTACTTGGACTTCATCCTGACCTAGTGACTTCAGCTTCTGGTCTTCAGGTAAAATTGCACCACCTGAAGAGTCTCACCTGTGCACTCCTACCCTCGACTCTAGGTTGTCCTGGCCCAGTGGATAATGACTGTCTTCTCTATGTGGAGGTGCCCAGCCCAGTCTCCTCTGTAGAGGATTGCTTTTCCTGTTGAGCCTAAATGTTATTTGTGGTAAATCTCTCTTGCTGCTAATGCCCCACTTCAGACCACCTTGAAATGCATTTGAATTTGATCTCCTTCATTCCTTTTACCTTTCTTTTCACAAGCTTTATACCAGGAGGCCGGACAGTTGACATGGCTTAAATGTTCACATTCTGCACACCTGAACCAACAGCAGACGTTGCCAGTGGACTTGTAGTCCTCCTTCCAGGACCCCGATCCGGCCTTAGGAGTGTTCTCACGCAGCAGAGCAAGTGCTCATAACCAGTTCGCCAGGGCTGGAAGCAATGTCAAAGCTGTTTTCTCTCCCTTACCTCTAATAATCTACTGTTCAAGTAATTACCCCTACATAAGTCTTCATTTTAAACTTTTTTCTAGTTTTTATTTAATTCTCCCAATTATCCTGTAATCCCTAGGTTCCAGTCGAGGTTGGAAATAAAATAGGTGGTTACTGGGTAGGAATTCTGTACCTGGGAATTTTAGTTCTCAAGCTAATGTGAGGTCTTGGGCTGATGCTGGTGTAATTGAGAGTGGATCTGTAACTGCTCCATCAAGGCCTTTAAGCATGTATACCAGGCACATGCTCCCGAATTATCATCTCTCTGGCATTAGGGATCAGAAGGTGAGGCAGGCCCGGCTGGGCGTGGCTCAGCGGTTGAGCATCGACCTAGGATCCAGGAGATCGTGGTTCGATGCCGGGTCAGGGTACATGCCCAGGTTGCGGGCTCAATCCCTAGTAGGGGGCATGCAGGAGGCAGCTGATCAATGACTCTCTCTCATCATTCATGTTTCTATCTCTTTCTCCCTCTCCCTTCCTCTCTCTGAATCAACAAAGACATATTTTAAAAAAAAAAAAAGGTGAGGTGACTGGCAGGAAAGGAAGGTGTTCTCCTTAGGCAGCTGTCTCCAGGACTCTATGACTTAAAGGAAGGTCAGAAGGTGACAAGGCTCTTTGTTACCATAACGTAAGTCATGATTACAATGAAGAGTCACACTGGTGTTACGGGGAAAAACAAGAAACAAAGAAAAAACAAAAGATACTGGGTTTAAGTTTTAACTCTACACTTTGAATTAATATGACTTTGAGCAAGTTCCTTAATCTCTGATTGCCACAGCTATGAAATGAGCACAGTAATAGTACATCATCACTCTCATGGCTTATTTTTATTTGAGGACCAAATGAGAGAATATGTGATAGTAATATTTTGAAGCATTTTATAAATTCCAGGCTTTATTCATTCACCAGTTTGGTCAACAAACATTTGTGGAGTGTTTTCTTGAGGGAGCCTCTGGGCCAGAGTCCAACCCTCAGCTGCCCAACTGCATTCTGGGAACAGCCCTTCGGAACAGAGTCCAGGGGGTAGCAAAGCTTCCAACTGCAGCCAGAACCAAGAGAGAGGACTGGCTTGTTAGGAAGAGAGAGAAAACTAACCCACTTCCTGTGAATTTCTTTACTCCCTATATACACCTGCTCTCCAGCCCAGAACTCCACCTCCCAGCTCCTTTCAGAGTAGCCCGCGGTGTCACCACACTGTGGTCGCTGTAGCCCACAGGGCTGCCCACGTAGGCCTCTGTCGGTACACGGCTGCTCAGTCTTCCAGCCACACAGTCCTTGGTTTGCTTGGGCAGCCTTGGCTGACCCGGGC